GGGAGCAGTATTTTGGGCCAAGACAACAACTATCAAAACCACTGAGCCCTACATCCCAGTTCTCCCCTATTACTGCATTCCTGCCTGGAAAGCAAAGTTTTGGGCTTGACTCCAAGTGGTCCAGCTTCCCCAGCCACTTCTGGGGTGCTTTCTAGAGGAGTCAGAGAATCTAAAGGTCAAAGTGAGAGTTTTTAACCAAGTTCGGCTCAGTAAGGACAAGCAAAAGACACCCAGTCCCTTCCCTGCTGCTCAGAGTTCCCTCTGCAGAGGGATGCAGCTGCCCAAGGAGCCAGGAGAGATGATCCAAGCACCAAAGCATCACACCACGCTCCTGGTCATCCCACCTCTAGACCAAAAATGACTGCTCTAGAGATAAGTGGGCCCATGAGAACCTCACGAGGTTCAACAAGTCTAAGTGCAAGGTGCTACATCTGAGTTTGGGCAGTCCCAGATATAAGTACAGACTGAGACTCACTGAGAGGAGCCCTGTGGAGGAGGACTTGAGGGTTCTGGTGGATGAAAAACTTGACATAAGCCAACAGCGTGTGTTTGCAGCCCAGAAAGCCAATTGCATCAAAGGCAATGTGGCCAGCAGGTCAAGGGTGATGACTCTGAGCCTCTGCTCTGCCCTTGTGAGACCTGAAGACCTGCATCCTGCTCTGGAGTCATCAGCACAGAAAATTGTGGGAAATTTTAGACCTCTTAAGACTGGGTCCAGGAGAGACCACAAAGATCATCAGAAGGCTGGAGCTTTTCTTCTATAAGGACAAGTTGAGAGAGCTGAGGTTGTTCAGCCTTGAGAAGGAAAGTCTCCAGGGTGACCTTGTAGCAATAAACTAAAGCACTAAACTACCTAAAGGTAGTTTGTAGAAAAGTATGAGAGGGACTTTTTAACAAGGGCATGCAGTGACAGGACAAGGGGGAATGGCTTTAAATTGAACGAGGAGAGGTTTATATTAGATTTTATGAAGAAATTCTTAAATGTGAGAATGATGAAGCCTTGGCACAGGTTGCACAGGGAAGTTGTGGATGTCCCATCCCTTGCACTGCTCAAGGACAGGTTGGATGGGGCTCTGAGCAACCTGGTCTAGTGGAAAGTGTCCCTGCCCACGGCAGGAGGTTGGAATGAGATGATCTTTAACATCTATTCCAACCCAGACCATTCTGTGATTCTAGAATTCTTTGATAACAAAGCTTGAGATAAACTGACTCCAAGTCTGTCTCACCACCTTCTTACCCAACCTCTCTCCTTCTTAGTAAATCCACAGAGCCATTAGCAGCTGCCATGAATGCAGCATCCCACTAAAAAGCTGAG